GACTTCTAGTAAAACAGTCCCCCTCCACTACATATAGCACATGCCATACAATCAGACAAAATTCGACATGTTTTGGGGTCAATATGATACCATTTTCATTTTTCCGCTCATACCACTAGGGGACAGTCGTACCCCAATTAATGTTTGATTTTTATAAAATCGGCTAAAAACTTTTGTGGGGTTTTCTTGTATACCTCTGGTGTGCCATGCAATCCCATTGGCCAAATAACGTTTCATCGTTCTCCACGGTTTCAAAAGTTAGTTTCATGTTCAGCATGGAAATTTTCTCCCAGAAATGCTAGTTCCAAGCCCGCTTGTTGAGTCTGGAGTGTTTGAGGAGAGAAAACGGCCTCGTCATGACCTAACTCCTGAGTCACAGTTGTTGTTTCTTAGCATGTTGGGTTGTCTTCTTTCTCGGCTGCCTTCAACTTTTCCTAGCATGATTGTCCTTTCCGGTGACTCTTCTCTTCTCGCAAGAATTCAGTGGCTCTTGTCTTTTTTAAATAGCTTCATTGAATCTTCAGAATTAATAGTGTTATCTGAGGTAACATTGCAATGGTGAAACAATGAAATCCAGCCTTTAATCTTTTTATTCCTTTGGAGTTCTATTCTGTTAAAATGACAAAACGTGGTTATAATGTTTTTAATGACGTATGGATTTTAAATATTTAAAGATTAATTTACCTTCCCCTACTCTTCTTTTTCTTCCTTATAGGCAAAGAGCGGAGTCCAGTCTTTAATAAACAAACATCAGAAACTGCCGGGGAACGTTTTCAGAGCTCTAATGGAACGATTTGCGGTACAGAAAAAAGAAGACTAGTGCGATCAGGGAATGATAAATAGTTGTAAAGTATTTTAAAATAATGTTTGTAACATGAATCTCAAATGCAATATTTGAGAAGGTTCTTCCTGTACTGTTTTCTGCAGTTGTACAGTTTTACAGAGAATCCGCCGTTCTCTACCCCCAATAAAAGAAAGTCCCCTCACCATAAAATCAATGCCCAGGCCAAACCCCTGTACCTAGAAACACAAAAATCAGGGAGAGCACTACTACCATGACATAGACACTCACTAAGAAGGGATTTTTAGAAATTCAACCCCTAAAGGGGTCAAAAGGGGTAAAATGTGCTCCCCCCATTGCTTCCTATGTGGCTGCCAGGCTGCTGCCTCTTTGCCCCCCCCCCTCTGATTGGTCAACTGCAGAGCTCAGTGTTCTGAGGTAAAAAAACAGTTAAAGGAGACTGCAGAGCATGAATGACAGTTGAGGGAATCAGGAATGGCCAACTGCCTGTGAGGTGCAGCAGTGCTGCTGGCCCAGTCTCTCTGATGGCTTCCAACACATTCCCCCCACCTCCTACACCTGACAGACGGTTGTCTGTCAGGTGCAGCAGCGGTTGCATGGTGCTTAAAGCCACGAGGGAGCCCGCCCAAGCAGTAACGCCTTAGTGATCCTGCCAGCCCAGCCTCCACAGTGGCTTCTAATACTCCTCCCACCTCCTCTCCACCCACAATGGAAATATACCCCAAATTTGTAGAAAAGTGGTTTCCTTTATTAGGTTATTTACCCTTTCACAACTTGCTTAACATCTGATTGCTCGGATGGTGTTTTGAATACGTAGTTATGTCCCACTTCTTAAATGTAACATAAATGAGAGGCAATTTTGTAAAAAAGGAGGGGTATGCCCTCCCCCCCAATTCAATGCTCAGGCCAAACCCCTGCACCAAGAAACCCAAAACCCCCCCGATTGGTCAACTATGTGGTTCAGGGGTCTGAGGTAAAACCTGCCTGTTTGCACCCACCTCCCTCTGATTGCTCAGCTGTGGATCTCAATGTTCTGAGGTAAAAACACAGTTAGAAGAGACTGCAGACAGTTGAGGACAGTTACAGAAATCAGCGATTCAAGACTCCTGAATAGACATTTTTCAAAAAAGCCAGTATGGCAATTGAATTAATGAATGTTCATGGGGAGATAGTAAAGGACCTTTCTAGGAGCCATTTTGATGCATGCCTCCCTCATGAACCTGAAGAAATGTCCACCACATCACCACTTCCTCACACCAACTCCCTCTCACACCTCTCACCTCTTATTGCCCCCCCCCCAAGAAAGCTCCTGGCAAATATTGAGCCAGATATACCAACGCTACAAGGAGGAGGCAACTTAGGAATGTGGCAAAGACATTTGCACATAGTACTCCTGCGGAGCACTGAGCTGCACAGGCCAAGGACCAGTAAGATTACCCTGAGGTGCTCAGAACAACACAGTCTCCATATGAGCAAAGCAATCCAGGAACACAAGTAGAGAGGCCATCACTTTCATGGAAGGTAGAAGGAGTTGACTTAACAGATGACTGCTTCTTAAATCGACAGTTCTATGTGGCCTGCTCCAGAGTGAGCTCACCCAGCAACCTGGTGATCCTAGCACCTGAGGGCAGAACCACCAATGTGGTCTACATAGAGGTCCTTCAGCAGAGGGGGGGGGAGTATGTATGTCTCACTTCATTTTTTACACTACAATCTTCTCCATTAGAATTCCTACAACAAATGTTACGTTTCAAACTTCACATCATTCTTATAACTAGATTTATGGAACTTATATACCGTAGTGAAGCACGGGTATCAGGCTAGTATGCAATAAAAGTCAGGGCAGTTTTCTAGACACAGAAAAGCTCAGAAGGGACCCATAGTTCAGGAGTCATTCTAGAGATTTCTTTAAACTGAGCTTGATGTTTAAACTTTGCAACAAAACTGTTCACAGAAGACCTCCTCCAGTGATGTACAGAAGTGTTTAACAGGGAAGAAACTCTTGAAAATAAAATGAAGATAAGTATAAATTTGAAACCTTAAATAAGAGAGAATCAACAGTTCCAACTCTATGATTCTAGGGCTGAGCTTCAAGACCACCCATGCAGCAAGCCAAGGAGGCCAATAGACTGGCAGTCTTTAAGCAGTGGCTGGAGAAATACTTGTCAGGGATGCTCTAGGCTGATCCTCCATTGAGCAGGGTGTTCGACTAGATGGCCTGTATGGCTTCTTCCAACTCTGTGATTGTATGAGTCTAGTTTAAAAGGTTGTTTCTGCAAGGCAGAGGACATCCTAGTGGAGAAATCCCTGGGGCTTCTGAACTCCTGGCTATACTGTCTCCAGAACTCTCTCCAGAGATCATGGCTCCCATCAAGTCACTAGCAAATTCATCTTTGTGCTCTGGTGGTAGGAGATGGTTCTCAAAAACACCATCTCTGTAAGTTACCAGGAAATTGCATGCTTTAGTTCACACAGGAAGAGCACTGAGTGTTATCACCCCAAGATAACACCTCTCATCTGACTCATCACTCTGGCAGTGTTTGCTGTTTTCCCAGAGGTGGGGGGGAAACACAGACCCAGAAACCCTTTTTCTTGCCTTAGGTCAACTTGGAGTTTAAGAGTACATTCAGGAGTAACAGAATGTGCATCAAGTATAATGTAATTGGCCAAGACTTTGTTACCTACACAGGTGCTACTGGATGCAGCAAATGTCCTGAATTTTCAGATCAATATGTATCTTCTGCTACCCCCTGCAAGACTATACCAAAGCTTGCTCTAGAGACACTGTTTGATAACCCAGATGCCCTATGTCCAGTCAACCTGTAGCAAACACTGGTTTAAGTCTAGAAAGCATTGGAGCAAGGGGCCAGCAATGCTCAAAAATCACGGGATAAAAGGGCAAGTCCTTTTGTGGATCAAAAACTGGCTAATTAATAGGAAACAGAGAGTGAGTATAAATGGGTATTTTCTCAGTGGAGGGTGGTAAGCAATGGAGTACCCCAGGGATCAGTACTGGGTCCGATGCTTTTTAACTTGTTTATTAATGATCTGGAGTTGGGAGTAAGCAGTGAAGCGGCTAAATTTGCGGATGATACGAAGTTGTTCAGGGTGGTGAAAACCAGGGAGGATTGTGAGGCACTCCAAAGGGATCTATCGAGGATGGGTGAGTGGGCGTCAATGTGACAAATGGGGTTCAATGTGGCCAAGTGCAAAATGATGCACATTGGAGACAAAAATCCTAACTATAAACACACGTTGATGGGGTCCGAACTGGCAGAGACTGATCAAGAGAGAGATCTTGGAGTCGTGGTAGATAACTCACTGAAAATGTCAAGACAGTGTGCAACTGCAATAAAAAAGGCCAATGCTATGCTGGGGATTATTAGGAAGGGAATTGAAAACAGATCAGCCAATATCATAATGCCCCTATATAAATCAATGGTGCGGCCTCATTTGGAATACTGTGTGCAGTTCTGGTCACCACACCTTAAAAAGGATATTATAGCTTTGGAAAAAGTGCAGAAAAGGGCAACTCGAATGACAAAAGGGTTGGAACACTTTCCCTATGAAGAAGGGTTAAAGCGCTTGAGGCTCTTTAACTTGGAGAAACTACGACTGAGGGGTGACATGATCGAGGTTTATAAGATTATGCATGGGATAGAGCAGGTAGAGAAAGAGGTACTTTTCTCCCTCTCTCACAATACAAGAACTCGTGGGCACTCAATGAAATTGCTGAGCGGTCAGGTTAGAACAGATAAAAGGAAGTACTTCTTCACCCAAAGAGTGATTAACACATGGAATTCACTGCCACAGGAGGTGGTGGCAGCTACAAGCATGGATGGCTTCAAGAGGGAATTAGATAAGCATATGGAGCAGAGATCCATCAGTGGCTATTGGCCACAAGGTATAGATAGGGACTCTAGGGCAAGTGATGTTCTGTATTCTTGGTGCTTGGGAGGGCTTCTAGTGTCCTGGCCCCACTGCTGGACCTCTGATGTCACCTGGTATTTTTGGCCACTGTGTGACAGAGTGTTGGACTGGATGGGCTATTGGCCTGATCCAACATTGGCTTTTCTTATGTTCTTAATGCATGAAATGGAGAAACCCACACTGTGGTTGAAGAGTTGTACTGGGGGAAGACACCTACTGTGTACCTCATCATAGCCCAAGCATGCCCATCATGTCTTCCAACACTTACCTGAGGGCAAATCCAATTCCACACCGATCCATGTTCCCTCCTGGAAGTCTGTTGGTCCAACGTATCGCACTGTTCCAGTCTTATTTGTACCAACAGTCACATATTCACCCTCCTTTAACCAGTCTGGTATCTCATTGGTTTCTTCGGAGTCAGACGTTACTTCCAGTTTTTCTTCAGAGGCAGCTTCTGTGCCGTTGTTCTGGTCGGACTCTTGTGAATTTTGTTTGCTTCTCTCTCTGACCTTCTCTTCCTCAGAGCTTGAGAATCCCCCTTGTTCTCCTCCCAACATATTTGAGAAGGACTTAAGTTCTGATGTCCTTACTCTTTGGATTTTGAATGGAGAGGCTGCACTGCTGGACTGAGGTGAAAGGTTGGGAAGAACCTGAGATTTTGAAGGTCCTGTTTCAGAAACAGATGCTGAACTGTCCTGTCCAATAATAGGAGGAGGGTCCCAGGTTAGTGAAGTTATAGGTGGCTGTGTCAACTGCAGCTCTTTCTTTGAGGAGGAGGTAGAAGAATAGCCTTTAGCATTAGTCGCTACAGAGGCATTAGATTGGTTATCACCTACCGCTACAGAAGATGCAACAGACTTTGACCTTAAGTTGCCCTCGCCATTAACTTTGTTGTTGTCTTTAGTTCTTGCATGCTCCATTTTAAGGCTAGGGCCCGCTGAATCACCTCTCAGAAGAGAAGGTGAAACCTCAGAACCTATCACAGAACATGACTTTATGGGACCTTCAGCAGCAGTAGGCATCTGGTTGGCCGTTACAGGCTGGGGCCCATCACCTGCTGCAGGCGCCTGGCTGCTGGCTGGAAGGGGGGAGTCATTTCCCGGTGCAAGAGCTTCAGAAAGGGTTGCTGTGGAAACACTGTGGGAGAAGTAGCCACTAGACGCTTCACTCAAGGGGCTTGGTGGCCCTTCTTGGGAGTCCTGTGTTGGAATGTCTGCCATGGACTGACGTGAAGGCACGTTAGGTGACTTTTCAGAATTTTTCCCCAACTCACTAGAATGCATGGTCATCTCAAATGACTCTTTGCTTTCTTCCTCATGCATAACCTGAAACAGAAATGGAGTTACGGTCAGGAGGCTTCCTAAGATGCCATCGTTATATATAGCAACAGAATTGCCAACACTGCTGCTAGAAAAAAATTGGGCAAAAACTTAACTATAGTGTATCTAGTTTATCTTCCCTTGCTGAATCTGGACAGGTTGGAAGGAGTAAGAGTTTTGATTTTTTTTTTTTTTGGGGGGGGGAAACTAAGAAGTGGAAAGACAGGTTATGCATGGATCCTGGAACTCAGCTGAGGGAGCAACCTCACTGCTGTCTCTTGCCACTCAGCCCACTGAACATAGAGGAGAACATCCAAGGTCTGGACTGCTGGGGGGCAATAAATAGGAAGAACTTCAGATACTAGTGAGTAACTAACCACAGCCCAGTGATCCCGTTGAAAGCAATAGCTGATCACACAGTCAGATTTTAACAAACCCAAAGAGTTTTAATGATAGATTTCAACACTACTGCAAAGGAAGCTCTTTGGCTAATGGGCATTTTCTCATTGAAGGCCCGTTGGGATTAATACGTAAGTGCGCCCAACACAAGAAATATGCCCCCATTATTTACTGTAAGATTATTTATATTACTGGAATGGGCATTTGCTGTTTGAAAAGGGCGATTTATGTGAAGGGAAAAACCAAGCAAGATCTGTCTCAGTTATTTGGCTTAATTCACAGGACAGATAAATCACTCATTTCACAGCTAAGTGTCACACTGCACAGCCCCGTGTTCTAAACACCAGTCCCTTCTCAGCCACTTCACTGCAACACTACAAACCTGCAGGGTATGAAGTTAACGTTGCCTTCTAAGATTAACAGTCCATCTTAATGATGTATATCTTGGTGATAACACCTTAAACTCAGAAAGATCAATTATTTTTGCCAACTCTGGTACTGTAGGTTGCTTTAAATCTTCCCAAACCCTCACTTTGGATTGCCAGTCAGAAAAAGTCTGTGAATAGTTTTACATTTGCTAAAGGTTCCTTCCTACATTACCTGTGAGGTGTTGCACTGGGATCACTTCCCATGCTGTTCCTGTAACCTGAGATCCCCAGGATCACAAGAGAGGGGCATTTTCCAAACCAGTTTTGTATCTAGATAAGGAAGCAAGTTTCCCCAAATGACTGTGAGGTCTTCTGTTACTTCAAATAAAAGTAATAACTACTGAGGAACCACACAACTTTAAGGCTGACAAGGAAGAAACTGAAATTGTTAAAGATTTTCTGTTCCTTGGCTCAGTCATCAACCAAAACGGAGCCTGCAACCAAGAAATCAGAAGATTGGGATTGGGAAGGGCAGCCATAAAAGAGCTAGAAAAGATCCCTAAATGTTAGGACGTATCACTAGTAGCCAAGATCAAGATAATTCATACTATAGAATTCCCCATTGCTATGCAGGGGTGTGAAAGTTGGGCAATGAAGAAAGTTGACAGGAAGTTGATTCACTTGAAATGTTGTGTTAGAAGAGAGTTTTGTGGAAACCATGGGCCATCAGAAAGATGGGGAGATCTAGATCAAATACAGCCTGAACTCTCCCTAGAAGCTAAAATGACTAAACTGAGGCTATCATGCTTTGCTCACATTATGAGAAGACAATGGTCATTGGAAAAGACAATGATGCTAGGAAATGTTGTCGAATGCTAGGAAAAGTTGACGGCAGTAGCAAAAGAGGAAGATCCAACAGGAGCTGGATTGAATCAATCAAGGAAGTCACAACCCTCAGTCTGCAAGACCTAAGCAAGTGTGTTAAAAATCAGATGTTTTGGAGGTCATTAATTCATAGGGTCAACATAGGCTGGAAAAGACTTGGTGGCACGTAGCACACTCAATGCACTCTATGTGAATCTGCCCTTAAAGACATCTCAGGAACTCCAGCTGGAACCCGCATGTCACACCTATTCTGCAGACAATGCACTGGTTATCAATCAGTTACTAAGATCAGTACAAGGCTCTGGTTATCACCTTCAAAGCCCTTAATGATGTTGGACCCATAGACCTGCAGGACCATCTCTCTTGCTGTGTTCCACTGTGACATCTTTGTTCATCTGAACAAATCCTTCTGAAAGATGCCACCCTGCAAATGGACAAGATTGGCAGCTGCCTTTCATCTGCATTCTCCGCAGTGGCTCCCCCCTTGTGGAACTTTTGTCAGTCTACTGAATGTGCAGAACAGAGATGTTCAGGGAGGCATTTTAAAAAGAGATTAGATCTGTAGTAGAATCAAACAGTCCAGGAGCGCACTTTGTAACAGAATAGAATTGTAATCTGCTTATGCCTCCAGGAAACGCACACACACAAAAAGAAGATAGTAAGCCACTATTAAATGACTCGACCTGGGAGATACTAGCAGAAGCCAGAAGCGATACTAAGGGCAAAGGAGTAGCAGTACTGATCCATAAGAAATTTAAACTAGAGGAGGTGGTAAAAAAAGTGGACAGGAATGGTAGATATTTGTTAGTAAGGTTTAAAATGGATGGTAAGAAGTTCACAATAGTAAATATTTATGCCCCAAACTAAGGGAAAAGAAATTTCTGGGCAAAATATTTTAAAAAACTAAAGAATTTTCGGAGGGAGAAGTTATTATAGCAGGAGACCTAAACATAGATATAACAAAAGATAAATCAATTAAGCTGGGAAATTGGGGTCTGGCAGAGGCACACAATCTTATGGGGTACCAATCCAAACCCACACATATATCTAGTAGACATAAAACAGCATCATGTATAAACTACATAATTTTAGAGAAAAATAGTAACACAACTATTAAAGGAATCACAACTCATCTGATCTGGATATCTGACCATGCTCCAATAAGTGCTGAAATAGAATCCATCCAACAACCAATAAAAAGAACTTGGAGGTATAATAATCTAATAATGGCCACAGAAAGAGATAAAGCCAAAATCCAAGAATTGGAGTGGTTACAGTGTAAACTAATGCATAAATACAATCCTACGTTACAGAACCAAATAATAGCAATTAAAAAGCAATTGGAGGCTTTAGACTCAGCAACACTATGGAAAAGGGAAGCAATGGTGAGAAATGAATTTCAAAGAAATAGTATTAACTCAGCAAAAAAACTGGCAAATTACCTGAAAAACAGGAAGGAAAGACAAAAGGTAAAAAGTATAAAGGCAAATGGGCAAAAAACTCAACAACCCTACAGAAATATTGGAGGCATTCGAGTTTTTTTTTTAACAAAATTATATAAGAAGAGGGATACAGCAGATTTTGTAGAAAATGTAAAAATAACATTGAAGGGGGACGACCAAGCCAAATTAGGAGAGGATATCACAATACAAGAGATAAAGGACATAATTAAAGAACTGAGAAAGGGTAAATCCCCTGGATTAAATGGGTTTACAAGTGAATTTTATAAGGAAATGGTAGATATCTTAGCACCAGAACTCCAAATGGTGTTCAATGAAATTTTAAGGGGGGGGGGAAGCCCCAGACTCATGGAGGCAAACAGAGATAATTGTAATTCTGAAACCACGTAAGGACCCTGAAGAGGAAGGCTCATACAGACCTATAAGTATTCTTAATCAAGACTATAAGATCTTTGCAAAAATTCTGGCAAATAGATTAAAGAAGACTATCCCTAATCTAATAAAAGAAGACCAATATGGAGTTGTAAAGGATAGGAATATAGCCCACCCTGTTAGAAATATAATAAATGTACTGCAACACGGCCAACAAAAAAAGCTAGGCCTTTTAAAATTGGATGTCTACAAAGCTTTTGATACTCTCTCTCAGGAATATCTGTGGCCAGGGCTATTTTTGGGCAGGAACACACAGGAACGGAGTTCCAGCTGGCTCCCACGTTGGCCATGCCCAGCAGGAACTCATTAGCATAATAGGCCACACCCAACAGCAGAAACTCATTTGGATTGGCTACATTAGGGGTGTGTGGCCTAACATGCAAAGAAGTTCCTGCTATAAAAAAAGCCCTGGGTTTTGACAACAAACAAGGTAAACAGAATAAGAAGCAAAAGGTGGGTGTGGCTGGATGACCACACTTCTGGTAACATGGGGTGTGGCCTAATATGCTAATGTGATGTGCTATCAGGGTGTGGCCTAATATGCTAATGAGCTTCTACTGTTGGGTGTGGCCTATTATGCTAATGAGTTCCTGCTGGGCTTTTTCTACAAAAAAGCCCTATCTGTGGCAGATTATGAGGAAATACGGGATAAGAGACAATTACATAAGAGCAATTCAAGAGATATACAGAGACGGAACTGCAGTGGTAAAGGTTAACAGTGACCATTCACGAACTTTCCAGATCCAGAGAGGAGTTCGGCAGGGCTGCCCGCTCTCACTACTACTATTTATCACAGCGATAGAACAGCTAGCTGAAAGGATAAGAAACTGTGCCAAGGATAGAAGGTTATAAGGTGAAGAAGGAAGAAATGAAAATTAATCTATTTGCAGGTGACATTATAGTTGTTATGACAAACCCTAAAGAAGCGATAAAAGAAGTAAAAATTATACTAGAGGACTTTAAAGGCTGCTCAGGTCTAAGGGTCAACATGGCTAAATCAGAAATCATGTATCTCAACGTGAATCAAGAGGGGGGGAAAGCAATAAACAAAATTACAAGTATTGGAATGGACACTAAAAAGTTCAAATATTTAGGTATAGTGTTACAAAAGAAGATCGATAGAATTCCGGACGCTAACTGCAACATATGGAGGAAAATAGAGAATGAAATGAGTAAGTGGAAAAATAAAACTTTAGGCATATCTGCTAGAATAAGGACCATTAAAATGTTCTGGGTCCCTAAATTAATATATCTATTTCAGTCGATACCATTAGGAATTCATAGTAAAAGGCTAGAACAATGGAATAGAGTGATTAGAGAGTGGATATTTGGCAGCAAAAAATGTAGAATTCAAAAAAGGTTGGTACATGGCCACAAAACGGAGTTGGGTTGGGGGGTCCCCGAGTTGAATAGCTATTATGAAGCTTTCCAAATAAAGTCGTTATTAGAGATAGGTGAAGGCAATGGGCAGAAATGGGTCAGATCAACAACAACACAGGACGCTTTGGAATATTCTCCAAAGTTAAAAAAAAGACCTTAAATCAATTAAAGGCCCCAGATACTCAGCATTAGAATCTTGGAGTAAGTGGCAGACAATATGGTTAAGGAGAAACTCAAGGTGGGCACCGCTGGAGTCCATGTATAGCGAAATAAGAGAAAACAAATGGTGGCATTTGTTAAGATCCAAAGGCTACTATAGGTTGGGAGATATGTTTAGAGGAGGTAACCTAAAACCGCTACATGAGATAATAGAAGGGGTAGGCAACCAACATTGGTTAAAAATAACAGGTCTCTATAGTATGGCTAAAACAATCAATGAAAAAGAGAAAATTTGGATAGAGGAACCAATAGAAGCAATATATAAAGCAAAAATCAAAACAAGGACTAGCAGGGAAAATCTATAGGAAAATGATAACAAATAAAGAAAAGACAATATCTTACCTACAAAAAACTTGGACCAAAGAAGGCCACATATCAGAAAATACGGCAGGTAAAATAATGGAGGGAATAGAGGAAATTAAAGTGATTAAATTTAATGAAATGGAGCACAAATTCTTTACAAAATGGTATAAAACACCAGCGCACTAGCAAATATGTTCCCAGGAACGAGCCCCAGGTGTTGGCATTGTAAACAATACAAGGGATGGTTTTCCCATATGTGGTGGGAATGCCCAGAGGTTAGTGCTTTCTGGATAAAAATATTAAAAATCATAAGGAGAATCAAGCTATATTTAGAGCTATGATACTAGCAAGCAAAGCAGTGATTGCTCTAGGCTGGAAGGACAAGAGTAAGTGGACAGTAGAAAGCAGGCATAATTATTTGTTTGATTTCATACAGTCGGATATCATTGAGAAGCTGAACCGGAAGACCACATGGGAAGACAAGACCACAGAAATCAGGAAGAAATGGAAGACATACCTAGAGTGGTTACCATCAGAAGGGAGAAAAGACATTCAGTGCAAGATTTGGACTTTGTGCCCGTGGCTGCGAACAAAGGACTAATGCATGGGAACAGCAGAGGGGGGAGGAGGGAGGGAGGAGGGGTATAAACTGTCATGTAAAGTACGGGTTAAACGACAATATGTAATACATACCAAAAACTACATTAAAAAAAAGAATTGTAATCTGCTGTAATTATTACTGTAGGTATTACCTGCTTCTACTGCACTGTCCCATATCTTGTAATCCACTTTCATTTTGTTTACAGTCTATCTTGCATTAGATAGATTGTTTGCATTGTTCTCTAATTTTATAATCCTAAACCAATGAACAGTGCAAATGGACATCTTCTGTTGTATGTCTGCACTGTTTTATATCTTGTAATCTGTCTCAAGTTTCAACAAGAAAGGCGGACTATAAATAAAATAAAAAGGAAATGTTGCTAATACAGAGATGTCTTTTAAAATGAAAATCAGTGAGGCAGGGCTGGAAATGTCCTGTTTTCAAATTTACAATATACTACAAGGTAGAAATGCACACTGTGAGATATACGGGACAGCTGCCAAAATGGTATCCTTCTGTTAGATTATCTCTCTTTCTCTCCCTCCTTCAACAGATAATAACATTTATTCCATGCTGTGACAATGAAGAGCTTCCCAGTTCACAGACCCAATAACATCAGCATGGAGTGAAGCTTGAAGAGGACCTACCTGTTTAATTTTTACAGCACTGGCATCAATACTGGCAGACTGAACCATGATTCGTGGGACAGACTATAGGGAAGAGGAAAAAGAGAGAGAGACATATACCCCAAGGCATTAAGTTTTGAAAGACTCACGTAAATGGCTTTCAAAGAACCAAATTGCCAGCCCATGTGATTAGACCAGATGTAGACAAAATGTTACCGCTCCACTGAACCCCTCTTTCTGTTAGTGCATTCACATTGTCACTGCAAGTAACGTGAAGATTTATGGTTATGTGAGTGTCACCAACTTCTAGTCCACATGGTACCACTGCTGATGCGACATCATTTCCTCACCTGTTCCCCAGGGTGACTTTCCCCTTAAGGTCCCTTTCAATGGAAGCTGCCCTGCAGTGTCAGAGGTGGGCAGGAAGGAGGATTTCTCCCTCTACAACAATGTCCTGAACCTTCCTCTGTGCTGTCAGATGCATCTCATTTAGCTTGTCCACATAAAACTTTATAAGAACAAGAATGTCTGTGTCCACCTAGGTAGCCCCAGCCCTCTATCTATACAATCCCATCCCAAGTTTCCATTTTTAATCACGCTAGAGTGAGAGACAGAAGCTGGGAACCAGCCACAAATATCACATGTAAATTTATTCCTCGGGGGGCCAAGCACTTGTCATTCCCCTCTCCCTTCTGCTGCACTTTCCTCAAAACAGTAATGCGGTTGCTCTCGAACAGTAAAGAGGAGGCACAATCCAGCACACCCTCTCTGATGATATTTTCCCAGGCTGGTTCTACACCCGTGTGTGCGCGCTTGCATACATATGTTTAAAAGGGGGGGAAATCTCGAGTTTTTCTGTCTGTCAGCTGGTATGGCTATCTATCAGCTGTTTGTACTGTCTCTCTTTCTCTCTGGCCTCCTGTCTCTTTCTCTCTGGCCTCCTGCTTCAAAATGTCCAAGCATGTCGTCTCTTCTCTTTCCTTCACTGACATTCAAGTGCCCTGAAGCCTTTCTGACTCCCAGAGACTCAGAAGCACTAGAATTTAAATAGTTTCCTTAACAAAATACCAGGATAGCCTTCTCCTCCCAACACACACACACACACCGCTCCTTCGGAGAGGATGACAGATACCTTAATTTATTTTTTTACCTTTGCGAGCCAATTTGACAGAAAAAAGAGAGGCAGGGAGAAAAAAATAGCAATTATTAAAAGTGCCAATTAAATAACTTTGCTGTTGACAGCAAACAGATGGGGAAGAGAACACCCTCGCTGGGTGGTAGAGTATAGAAACAAATGTCTGGTAAGAGGCAGAGCTGAAGCAAAATCCACAACACATGGCTACAAATACCCACAGTCGAGAACACACAGCTGTGGGTGGAAAAAACAAACATAAAACCCTTTGGCTCCTGAAGTGAGATTCTATACTTATCTGTGCCATGGCAAAGGTCACAGGGAGGGATATCTTCCAACATTACACATATTCCATATAACATCCCACATTATATTTGGGGACGGAGAATCACAGCAAAGTGCATAGCTGGTGTTTTCACTTTTTCAAGTGCATCTGGGTATGTCATGGTAGCTGTTAGAGACAAACTCGCTTAATAAGAATTACTTCTCCCTAGAGAATCTTGGGAACTCCTGTTTGGGAAACAGAAGAAGTATGGAGGACCAACGGTCTCCTCAGCACCCCTGCCAAACTACAGTTCTAGGATTCTTTGTTGCAATATGGAGATGGTAATATAAGATTACCTTACAGCGCTATAACAAAGATAGGCAGTGAACGTTAAAAAAATAAACTGCATGATACAAAGACTAATTGCATTTATTATTATCTCGGGGAAAACACCCCTGCAGATCCAAAAGTGTTTTGTGACACAGGGGATGATAATGCACCAATTCTTCCCATATATCAACAAGAAATGTAGCCAAGATTTTGAATCTATTGGCAATCACCTCTTATTGGCATCCATTTGACCATACCAGGGACTTCAGGAACCTCGTGGGCTAAGGGACAGCCTGATAAATTACCTGGGACAGCTTCCAATCAGATCTCAGAGCTCTCTTCAAGCACAGAAGAACACTTAAGTGTGCGACATTGGCCCTGCATCTGGAAGGCAGTATAAAGCCACTGGAATGGCCAGGCCTGGAACCAAAAATAGCAGCCTGGCTTTATGCCTTTGCTCAGTCAACAGCTCCATTTCAGACAAATTCTAATAAGGCTGAAACATGCCCATTTAGGGTCTGAATGCTGCACTGACTATCCATGCTTCAGGCCTGGACTCAACACCTGGATTACTGCTGGGGCAGGGGAGGAATGGATAGACATGGAAATATTGCAGTTCTGGTTGCATTTTAATTGCTGTAGTTTTCTAGTAACATTGCAATTTCAGAATATTTCTGTAGATATTGAGCAAAACAAAAACTGTGTGTCATTATAAGGGTTAATCCTACACTGTAAACATAGGGAATACGGACAAGAATGAATAAGAATGGAAATAGGAAATAGGGAGGGGAAAATAAGAGTGCCCCCCCCCCCCAGTCCTTGCAAGATCCTCACTTGTTAAGATGTAGGATTTACTACCATTAACAAACTGTGGTGATCTCTAGCTTCGATGGCTTTAAAGAAAGGGTTCTGTGGATTTACAGCAGGACATTTCACAGCAAATAAGCTTTCCGTTAAATGGAACCACCAGGATCACAGAGTATCTTTGGATATCAGAAGCTGGTGGAAAACAATAAGGGATGCTCATTAGATTCATGCGCTTGTTGTGAATTCTCAGAGGCACACAGCTGGCCACTGTCAGGATCTGAATAGATCTGTGGTCCAAGACCCAGTGAGGCCATTTTCATGTTAATGTTTATGTTAATAGAGATCCTGTGCTCATACCTTTCAAACTCTGCTGAGAAGGAAGAGTGAGGATCGGCTGCGCTTGGATTGTTCTGCAATTGCATTAGCAAGTTCCAGACTGCCTTTACCTCAGAGGCACCAAACATATTCAACGACTATTAAAAGCAGGATGTCAGAAATATGAGAAGCATTTGGTGATGAAACTGGAGGCTCCAATCAACTCCACTGGAATCACTAAGCACACTTATGATACTGAAGGCAATATGTAAGAGCTGTGTTGGATGAATGGTTTCTAAATCAAATCTTTTAAAAAACAGGAAGCTACAAGATGCCAAACCATTTTCATTGTGATGAAGCAGAGAAGTCCCTTTTAGCCCGATTACTTCACAGCCCACAAATCTCTGTAACCATTTTTGTGCTGCCAAGTAAACTTTGTTTATCTGGACAGGCTTCATTAAACTGCAGTCTATTAATTTCATGCTTTGGTTCCTAATTGAATGTCAGAAGGTCAACAACAGCACATTTGTCAGATGCACTCACATTTTGTAACTGCATCCCCAAACACAACCAGATAGACCCATGTTCAGACGCAGAAACTCACAAACTGACCTCAAGGTACCTTCTGAAGAGGCAAACTGTCAATTTGGTAATACGCTAATGGGGGGGGGGGAGAACTATAATCTTAGATCCCAGCCAAAACACAAACCATTAATATTATCTAAACCCCATTACAGTCAAAACCATTATTACTATGTATTACTCCCAATATATTCAATGAAATTGACAAGCTGTCACTGTCATATACATTGTATAAAACATTCAATGACAGTTCCAAATCTTTCTGCTATAATAAATCAGTTTATCATCAATACTGCCTAAAACAGAACTTATGTGAGAATAAGAACGTAGAATTCAGCTTCCTAAGAATCTTTGCCTTAATTTCTTCTTTGGTTTTTTTTAAAAGCAAGTTTCTAGCCCTTAAGAAGATGGTGTCTGCTGAAATTGCAGGTGCAAGTCTAGAATGGGGGAAGGAGTTCCCTTAGATGGGGAAGGGCCGCTGCTCAGAGGCAGAGCACATGCTTTGCATGCAGAAGGTCTCAGTAAAAGGACCCCCAGCCCCCCGATTGCTGGAAGTGGGACTTTTCTCTCTCTGCCTTGGAAGAGTCTGTGTCTGTCCTAATAGGTAATGCATTGCATTATCTATTATCAGTATTGTCTATGAGGCAGCCTTAGGCTGTTCAGGAGCCCCAGCCTGGCAAAATACAGCTGCCAGATGACTAACATGGGCTTCTAGGTCTTGATCTTGTTTTGTCAGTAGGTAAAAAGGCCTCCACTGGCTACCAATCTGTTCTCAAGAACAACTGAAAAGTGCTACTTGTTTACCTTTGGAGCTCGCCTGGAACAATGGTTCTCTTAAATGAGTGCATGCACCTACACGATGCCACCCACCCACATGCTGTCCGAGTATGCCCCTCACTTTTGCAGGACGGGCAGGTGGCCACACTGAAGAGGCCTCTTTGTGGCTGGCACCCAGACAGCGCAGTTCCTTCCTTGGCATTGCCCAGGTAGGTGCCTTCTCTAGAAGTCCTCTGACAGCCATTTAAGACAATTCCCCCCCCATCCACGCTTATGGCTGACATCTGATTGATTCTTCTACTGCCTCTCCCTGTGAACAATTGCTGGTTTTAAAACGGGTTTTATTAGGGTTGTTTAAAAGAGTTGGTAAGTCACCTTGGGGATCTCCACTGGCGGAAAAGCAAGAACAGACATTTATTAATAAGAAAATAAATAAAAAGGTCTAGAAGGAATGATAGTCTGACTCAGTATATAGAGCTTCATAAAGACATTTCTCTTGGTGAATCTGTGTTGAATAAATCTCCAGTTGAAGAAAAAGCCAAGAGGATCTTTGGCAATTTGCTCTAGCAGCCAGAGACAGCAGGACCAGAGGAGAGCTAATCCCACAGATTAGAGGGGCAGGACTGAGGCTTCAAGGATAACCCACACACTCTGGTTCCTTCCCTCTCCCGCACCATTTAAAATCACTGTTATTGTGAAGCAGACTATGCTGATAAATTCGTGACTTGGGCCCGAGGCTCAAGTGCATTCCAAAGGTCCTAGACTTAATCGCTGGCATTTCCATTTAAAGGTTGTTGGGTAGCAGGTGTTCCGAAATACCTGTCTCTGCCCACACCCTGGAAAGAGCCACTGCCAGTCAATAGATAATGCTAATCT